GTGGCAGAATCCATTAATTTGCATTTGGAGGGGTCCCTAGAGGGAGGAGATGACATGAAGAACTCGGGAAGTTGAGAGTTGAACTCCAGAGCAAGCCCAAACCTAATGGAGTCCCTGACCCATTTGTCGGAAGTGGTAGAATCCCACAGGTCGGCGAAATGTCTCAGCCGACCACCAATGGGGGGAAAGAGACAGGATCTATTTGGAGCGCCGGAAGGGTCTCCCCCCAGAACCCCTGAAGGGACGCTTAAATCCTCCGCCCCTCCTATTTCGATCGCTTGAGTCGGAACGATCCTGGGGATATGATGCTCTATACGAGGGAGGCCTCGGGTACCTGGGGGGGGAAGGGGGACTGGTAGAAAGACCGGGAGGACCCTCTTCGAAAGGGCTGAGGGGTTCGGGAGTCAGGCCTCCGAAAAAGAGGAGGAAGGAATTTCTTCTTTCCCCTAGTTTCGGCCAAGAGGGGGTCCAGGGCCGGCCCAAAAAGCTTCTCCCCCAGCTTGACCTTGTTCTTCACGTCCGCCTGCCATGGTTTGAGCCAGAGCAGGCGGCGGGCAGTGACCTGAGACGCTAACGCCCGGGAAGCGAATTTAACCGAATGGTACGTGGCGTCAGCTGAGAACTCTGCTGCCGCTGTGATTTTGGCTATGTCCTGAAGCGCCCGTATATTGGATGGAGGGATGTGTAACTTCAGTTGACGGAGCCACCGGATAGAGGATCTGGTAAAGAAGGAGGCTGCGGTGGCCAATCTAATTGCCCAGGCGTCGGCTAGGTGAGCCCGACGCAAGGCCAATTCAGACCTCCTATCCTCGGGTTTGAGGGCCTCCAGTGGGTCACTCGGGGAGGAGGAAGAGGCGAGACCAATAATGGGCTCGTCCACCTCCGGGGTATTGGGGAGGGAGCAGAAACTCGGTTCAAGGTTAAACAACCTCTTATCCTGTGTGGATGGGGCCGGAGGAGCCCCCGTAAAGCCCAGTTGGTTAGAAACCTGATCGTGGAAAATGGGAGGGGCGGGAATCACATCCACGGCCACCAACGGGCTGCTTGAACATTGCGTCCTCCGGTTCCTCCCCAGAGGAGAGGGGGGCAGGGGGGAGTTGAGTGGCCAGGCCCGAGGTCTTCTTGGCCTTGAACAAGATGGACTTGAACATGTGGGGCTTGAATAACCCCACAAAGGAAGGCTGATCGGGGGTAAGGCCCTCGTCCTCCGATAACTCTGCTTCCATCGGGTCTAAATCCGAAAAGGGTTCCCCATGGAAGGTGGATCCCCATTCAAGGTCTTCCTCCTCCTCCCTGTATTGGTCTAAAATTTCCATTCCCTCCTCCAGTTCCCTTTCTGGAAGAGGGCTGGCCCCCCGGTAAGGTACCTGACCAAGAGCGGGGTCCAGGGTGGGCATGGACCTAGTTGGCACCGGCTCCTGTGCGGGAGCCGTCTGAGGAAGGCTTGGTCCAGCCATCTGCTGCATGCCTTGAGCTATCCCCTGTCAAATAGCCTGCTCCATCCAAGTTCTCATGTACTCAGGCATCTCGATCGTGGGCGGGTCCTCCTGTCTTAGGCCAGCGGCCGTGGGAGTGAAGGTTGCTTCAGGCATCCGGCTGGTAGCTGGTCCAGGGGCGTGAGACTCCTGGGATGAGCTGTGCCTGGAGAGAGGGGAACAAACTGGAGGGGGGGTGCCTGGAAGTAGAAGGGGCGGCTGGGGGTGTTGGTTGAGTCACCCTAGAGCGCCTATCGAACTCCCTCTCTAGTGCCTTATGACGCCTCAAGGCGTCCCTTTGAGAGGCCTTAGAAGTCTCCTGGGAGGTTTCCTTAGCCTGTCTGCGCACGTGATGGGACTTAGATTTTGCCTTCAAAGAATGGCGGGAGTTAGGGTTATCATCTGCCATGGTGAAACAACAGAAGTATCAATATGAATATATAGATATATATATATGTATGTACAGGCGGTTGGCACGCCTAGGATACGACCTGGGTAAGGCCGGGTATCCAGAAACTGGCCCGCGCCCCCTTTTGGAATTTGCAATGAATAATCTGAAAAATATGACCAAAAAGGAAAAAAATTTTAAAACTGCCACAGATATAGACTTTTAATGCACAAATATATCCCACCGGGATAAGGATCCAGGAAAAAACACACTGCAGGGGCAGTGATGGGAGGTTAAGTCTCTCTAAGCAAATCTGAGAGAGAATAAATGCCAATTGGATGAAATTGGATCACCAATGTAAAGAAATATGAAGATATTCTGTATTAGGGACTGAATAACAACCTGGCAGTTGGTAAAAGGAAGAAGAAGAAGCCAATCAGCCAAATCAACGCCAGCAATACAAGGCCTCAGGCAGCTTGCCCCCCCTCAGGGAGGGAGTGGCTGCTTTTCTACTTCCCCGCCCTGAGTTCTGCTGCGGGAGCCAACACTTACACCAACAAGTAATAAAAGAAGTACAGTTTTTTTCCCTTTTGAGGGGAGAGGGAGATAGAGAGATCAGCCCTACTAGGCCTGGGAGCCTAAGGCTAGGGCCAGCAGATCGTCGCAGCAATAGGAGGCCTGAAAAATGGGGCCCGGCCACGAGGCGGCGCCCAAAATGGCGGCCGCCTGGAAATCAAAAGCAAAAAACGAAGCGGGTGGCTCAGGGCGGGTGCGTCCTGCAAGCCACGAGGGCGAGGACGCTGAAATCGCCTCTGTCTGGGCGATTGGCGTTAGTGGGGGGAAAACCAGAATAAAAGGCTCCGAACCTCTAGAAAGGCACAAGGACGGCAAGGCAGGAACGGAAAGAAAATAAACGGCAGAGTGGGGGGGGGGTAGCGCTAAGCGCTGCTAAGCCGCCCGCTCAGCCCCCTGGGGGCGAAAACGCACACCCCTAAGTCTCAAGACACCCACAGATGCACAGAGGCTAAGGAAATAATAAACTGAAATCCAACCTGTAATTGAAATATTATCCTGCTTGAATCAGCCAAAGAGTGGAAAGCACAATCAAAACACACAGCCTAACTCTGCGAAGGCTGAGCATAAAACTGGGGGACGCTACAAGGGACCACGTGACAGAGGGCGGAGCGTTCCTCAGTAATTAAGCTCAGCCTACACAGACGCAGACTGGAGCACCTCCCATTCTCTGGATGATCCGAGCAGCTCGAGGGAGAATGCCAAATTACTGGAGCACAGTAGTATTTGTCATTTATAAAAATAGTAAAGAAACTCAAGTATAGTATAATTAGTAAATTATGGTAGTAAGATACACATACATACATAAATACACTACAGCAGTAAATTCAGGGACTTGTGTGTACATTCTAGTGCTGCATTGGCCTTGGGGAATCAGGGTAGTGAGTTAGTGGGGATTTTGAGGGCTTGACTGCTGTAGTATCTTAGAGAAATTGGGTATCATCATTTTGTTTGTCCATGGTGAGCAACATTATCTTAAATTATTTCAAATAACTTCCGAGTTCAGTTTCCAAATCTGAGTAGCTGTTCAGGCTCAATGCACTGTTTCTTTATAGTAGCAGCAGCTTTGAAAGATAGTTGTAATATGATACATTAAAATAAGGCTTGAATATTTGCTAATAAGCATTATCAAAATATATATCTGCTTGCTACTAAGTCAGAAGCATGTAAGCTGTATGGATCAGCAAAATAACCTTTCTGCTTTCTTTTTTCCTTTGATTTGCATATTTATATCTCATGAAGTTAATCGGATGAATAAAGAAACTGATCCATAGTTACAGACTTCATTAACTTATGAATAGGTGAACTGTTAAGATCTTGTTTGAGTTAACATGCAGAAAGGCTGATACAACTATGGATAAAATTAAGCTTTTTTTTAAATTTCATGTAATTAGGGAAATTCATATTAAGACATTTTAATGTTTTGTTTCCAAATATATCCATAGTTTTAGAAGTAATACAATGCTAGAGATCAGGCTAGGCATCTGATATCATCTGGATATTTTAGACTTCACTTTTCATGATCTGTTTGCTGTGCCATCTAAATTCATGAATTATGCTAAGTCATAATACAATCTGGTTTGATTTACTATATTTATAATCTATTTTGCCTTGCAAAGCACAATTCATGTGTTGGTGTGGTATTGAAATATACCAAAAATGTTTCTTGAAAAGTTCAGCTGATAGTGTAATGTGTGAATACTACCACATTCATATTGATGACAAGGTTATTTCAATCTGCGTGTAGAGCATCTCATTGCCTTCTGCTATAATTTATTGCTTGACTGAAATTAAACATACATCTTGTATTTAATTGCATTGTTTTTAATCTATAAAGATTGAAACCAGAATCCCAAATTGACAAGTTTTCTCTAAAAATTGTTTAACAAACACAATATGACTAAGATTGTAACATTTCTCCCCTAAATTGTATTAGTAAAGTATAACAAACAATCAAAAGAGAGAGAATATAGTAAGAAACTATACACATTGCAATGATTAAAAAAACTAAACATAAATGGAAATAATAAACAGGAAAGGAAGAAAAATCCTTAAACTTATTAAAACTATGTGGAAATATTTTGTTTCTTGCTCTCTATTTGAGAAAACAGAAATGTATGAATTCACAAATTGATAAGGATCACTTAAGTAAATTTATTTTACAATCTACATAAAATACTTCACAATAGAGCTAAGACTGTAACACGACCCACATAATAGCTGACCATAGGGTCGACAATACATCACCCTTAACATATTGAAGGTATTGCCTTTACTCTGAACTTTATTGATATTTTATTGAGGCCTCAAATCCGTGGGGTTGCGGAGAATGGGTTAGCTGTGAACCATCTTATGACCTGCTACGTGCCTCTGATTTTGAATATTCAGTTGAACCCTTACCCTAACCCCTTAAAAAATTGCCAATCCTTGTTAGATATCCTTATTAACTATTTAAGGTCACTTAGGATAATTATACAGTACATTTTTATGGTTTATTTTTTTTTAAATCCAAGTTTGAACATTTTAATACTAGTAGAAATTAAAAATGTAATTTGCATTTTTAGGTTCACGTCTTCGTCAAGATGATTTCCCACCTCGAATTATTGAACATCCTTCGGATTTAATTGTTTCTAAAGGAGAACCAGCAACTCTGAACTGCAAGGCTGAAGGCAGACCAGTTCCAACAATTGAATGGTACAAAGGAGGAGAAAGGGTTGAAACTGATAAAGATGATCCTCGTTCTCATCGGATGTTGCTACCGACTGGATCTTTATTTTTCTTACGTATAGTTCATGGACGCAAAAGTAGGCCTGATGAAGGAGTTTATGTCTGTGTAGCCAGGAATTACCTTGGTGAAGCTGTGAGTCACAATGCATCATTGGAAGTAGCAAGTAAGTCTTTTGTTTCCCTTTTTGTTTGGCAACTATTTAAATAACAAAACAGTAGAATTATTGTTTTGATGTAAAGACAGAATGAGAAATAGTTATATGCACTGTATAGAATCATTTCCTTTGCATAAAAGCAGATGATATATCTAATCAACTGAATGGATAATAATCAATAAAATCAAAAGTCCTGATTTGCAAGTATAATTTATGAAGCTGCTATATATGCATTTAGAAAACAATGGTTTTGAACTGTTGGAAGAAATATCCATCTGGCTCAGTTCTAAGCCAGAAAAAGACACTGTAGACAAAATGGAGGCTGGAGGCTGATTAGAAAGAGGGTCCATTTATTGATGAACAGAACCACATTGAGTTGAGAGGGTGGTTTATACCTTCTCTTTGGCTTTACACTTGAACTTCCGGTTCCTGTGCAAGAACATGTATCCTATTGGCTGTTGTAGGGGTTATGTAGGGGTCATAGCTGGCGCTATAGGCAAAGTACAAATCCTAGGTGTTGTCTGAGCTAAATTTGTTTGAAGTTTGGAGGGTGATCCAATAATTCCTATTTTGGCTTAATGGCATTGGTTGGCTCTTGAACGAAGGCTAATCTACCTTTGTTCAGATTTTGCTGCAGGGAGTAATGGATTAAGCAAATTTGCATTTCTAAAAGCTGTTCCAGCTCAGTATCTGCTTCTGGGCAGGGGCAGTGGTGGGATTCTACAGGTTCGGACCGGTTCTATAGAACTGGTTGTTACGATTCTGTGCAGTTCAGAGAACTGGCAAATCGAGCCCCTGACTGGCCCCTCCCCTCTCTGCCCTCCCCTCCCCACCCAGTAAGTCCTTAACGTGCATGTGCGACATAGCTGACTGCATTCTTCCCCTCCCAGTCATTCCTTAAGGTATTTCTTTTTTCCCCTTCCGATGATCAGCTGTTCCAATGATCAGCTGTGCCGGGATCTGCCTCGCTGTATTACTGCTTCACCCAGGAGTCTTCCCTGAGGCCCAGGAGGGTCAAAAATGGAGTGCAGGGGGGGTGCTGTGCGCTTCCCCCATGCTCTGTTTTTTTTCCTTCCTGAGCCCTTGGGAAAGCAAAAATGCTACCCCAGGAGGCTCCCCTGAGGCCCAGGAGGCTCAAAAACAGAGCACAGGGGGAGCTGCACACCCCTCCCAGGCTCCATTTTTTGCCTTCCTGAGCCCCAGGGAAGCCTTCTGGGAGCAAAAATGCCTGCCTAGGAAGCTCCCTTGAGGCAAAAAAAAACCAGGGGAGGAGGATGTGCTGCAAAAAAAAAAAAAAAAAGGACTCCCAGTCACACGCCCAGCTAGCCATGCCCACAGAACTGGTTGTTAAAAAATTTGAATCCCACCCCTGGGCAGAGGGTCGGGGTTCTGAGTTTCTGTGTCCCGGAAGATTTTTTTATTTCTCTTAGGGGAAATATTTTATCTTGCCTTTTTCAAATATTCCTCAAAATATTTCATTCTTCTAGGGGAGGATGGCTTCCCACAGAATTTTACCACCTTTGCCATTATAAAAAACAATGTTGTGTTATCTGGATTTAATAATGAAACAATTTAAAAATATTTTTACTGTCCAGAATTTTGCCAAATTAATACAAATTGGGTCAAAGCTTATGTTCACTGAACAATGTAAAAATTATTTTGTCATTCATTCTAGTAAAATTGCATTGATGATATATTTAAATAATGGCATGTTTACTCAATAATTACGTTTAAGGTTTATTCTAAGCTGTCTAGCTCATCTACACATGCAGTAGCATCATGCAAATGTGTTGTGTTAGATGTGCATTATTATTTGGCAAACATCAGTGTGACTACATTCCATAAATAATATGTATACTGAAGTACTGCTATCTATCTATCTATCTATCTATCTATCTATCTATCTATCTATCTATCTATCTATCTATTATTATATTATATTATATTATATTATATTATATTATATTATATTATATATTATATATTATATATTATATATTATATATATAAGCGAACCTCGGTGGTGCAGTGGTTAGAGTGTAGTACTGCAAGCTACTTCTGCTGCAGCCAGCTGCTTGCAATTTGGCAGATCGAATCTCACTAGGCTCAAGGTTGACTCAGCCTTCCATCCTTCCGAGGTGGGTAAAATGAGGACCCAAATGGTGGGGGGCAATATGCTGATTCTGTAAACCTCTTAGAGAGAGCTGTAAAGCACTATGAAGTGGTATATAAGTCTAAGTGCTATTGCTATTAGCAATATCCACCGTATGTTCACAGGGTAAATGATGTCTAAATTAGGTTCCACAATGTTTTTGTATTTTTTTTTGTTAAGTGGAATAATTAAGTGTGCCTCATGATTTGCGCAGATAGGAATATAGCAATAGCACTTAGTTTTATATACCACTCTGTGATACTTTACAGCACTTTTGAGCAGTTTATAAATTTGGCATATTTGGGTCTTCATTTTACCGACTTCGGAATGATGGAAAACTAAATCAATCTTGAACCAGTGAGGATTGAAATCCTGGCTGTGGGTAGAATTAACCTGCAATACTGCATTCTAACCACTGTGGATCATATATACAGTATTTCTTTTTACATTTGTAAAGGTCTATGATTGGTACCTGCAGTTTTTAAATAATATACCTTGAATTCTGCATGTTGTTATAAACCTTAGAGCTTGATTGTAAAGATTAAAGTTTGATAACATCTCTTTCTCTTAAGTAAGTACAACTTTTCCTCTGTCACTTGAGTTCTAAACAGTGTTTTTGACTTGTGTGGTAGCTATATCTCTTTATATAGCTATTATTTTATTTTATTTTTTTCTAAATACGGTATACATGCATGTCACAGTAATCCATACTAGTACTGTACTAGTTTTGTGCTACTGTAGAATGTTTGCTGGAGATCACTTATTTATTTATTGTTACAAAAACATCGTTCCAACAATTTGGGGCAACACGCAATAACTTTGAACAAAATTTATGGTGACATTGAAATTTGAAACTACTAATTTGTTTAAAGAGTTTTTAATTAATATCTTTACGTATGTAAAGTATCCTTAACTGGAAAAAAGGATAAGAAGAAGTAAAAAGTGCAAGAAAAAGAGATAAGAAGAAAAAGGAATATAATAAAGGAAGTGAAAAATTTATTAAAGTGATATTCAACTTTAATAACAAATATAAAATTTAATATTTCACACTATGAATGGCTACAGACCTTTATTTTTTTTCATCTCTTCTCCCAGGCATGGCAAACTGGATTTCTTTGAGGGCCAGATCAGCATTGTAGTTCTCCTCCATGGGCTGGCTGAGGGGATATGGGATGGTCACCTCTTGCAGCACCATGGAGGCCAAAATGGGACGTGGGGGCAGTGCATACCCCCCGTGCACAGTTTTCAGCCTGTATGGCTTCCTTCAGCATCCTGCTGGCCAAAACGGGGCAGAGGGGATGCATGCTGCATCCCGTTTTCAGTCTGGATGGCCACCATCACTTTGCTGACCAAAATGGGGCATAGGGGTGTGTGCACAGCTCCCTGTGGCCCGTTTTCAATCCGGACGGCCTGCAGCATCCTGCCAGCCAAAATGGGGCACACTCCATTTTCACTAGCAGAGGCATCGCAAGCCGGTCCTTTGCTATTTCAAAATTGGCCCTATGGCCCAGATTTAAGCACCCTGTGGGCCTGCGAGTCTTGAGTTTGACACCCCTGTCTTGTCCCATCCTTCATTTGTCAGTTGTAATTCCCTTTAATTTCATCTATCTTGTCAACTAAAATTTATTCTAGGTGTTATTTCTTCGACATCTTTTGGTCTGTTATAGAAGAAGACTTTACTAACCTTGTTGATTCCATTCTTTGTAAGTCTCCATCATTTTTATTGTTAGAACATTTTCAAACATTTTTCAGGATTGCAATTTTTTCCTTTCCATGAGTAAGCAGGAAAGGCAGGAATATCAATAATTTGCTCTGCAATAAATAGAAGGCAACAGATTGGACCACCCAAGCAGGAACTGCTTAGTAGGCATAGTTTTGCTGTGGTTGGCATAGCTCTACTGAGACCATGGTTGTCTGCTAGAAAGGAAAGTAATGAAACTCTAGACAAAATTATACCTAAAGTGAATCAAACGGTGCATAGAATGAGATAATAGGAGAAAATTCAACTGGACGTGATAAGAGCTCATTTTGGGCCTCAACAATACCACCCACACTTTGCTATTATTTCATCTACAGAATACAATCCAGCAGGTCATTTCTAAGTCAGGTTCTACTAAGGAAGATTTGGGCAGAAAAATAATTTGATGGAGCTTTGTATGGAATTTGCTAAGCATTTGGTAAACTAAATCGCTCAGATCCTCTCAGAGTTAGATCCCAGCTAGACAAATGTGAAAGAGTTGAGTGAAGTGAAGTTTTCCAAGTTATCTGAGATATGTTAATCCTAAATAATTGTGTAGATTATCTATAGCTTATTATTATATATAAATATAATTGTCTTTATAGATTATCTATGACGAGACAGTGACCTTCCTGGTACTGTTTGATCCCTCAGTGACTTCTGATGCCATATGGCAATGTATTATTCTGAACTCCCTAAAATAAATAGAAAAGGAAAACATTGTGCTGCATGGTAATGAACTAGTTTTAGTTGGTGGCAAGATGTGGGTAGGGTTGCAGTTCTAGGCTTCTTAGTTATGTCTCCTACACTCCTTTTTAACACTTTCATGAAGATATTGGCTGAAAACATCCATGATCACAGAGTCAGATATTATCAATACAACGATATACAACTTTACATCTCAATTTATACATCTCAACCATTGATGTGATAAAATGTTCTCCAAATGCCTGCAGGCAGTTCAGACCTGGATTAAGTTAAGGCTGAATCCCAGAAAGATATTTTATGTCCTGGTTTTCTTAACACTCCTGTAGGAGCTGTGCAATTTTTGGACACAGGTTGGCTTTCCCATAGAATTTCTTTGAGGGAAGCTAGGAGTGAGCATCAGAAATCTTCCTT